AAAAAATATCATAAATCATGATCATGTGACTATAGGATGCTGCAAATGACAGTAAATGCAGGTCAGTTGCCAAATGCCCAAAATGTGATCACATCACCATGATGGAGGGAGAAGAGAGTCATCAGAAGTAGCCTGAGGGAGGTTGGTTGTAATTTCAAATGGTTGTTAAGTGACTGGTCTATAAATTGAGGACTACCTGTAATCAGTATCTACCATCCCATAACTTTATCCATTATCCATTTCCTGTAATATGGAACAACAGAGAATAGGATTTGACTTTCCTCTATACATGTATCTGAAGAAGGCTTTTATACCTTCTCTCTTTTGTTTTCTAGGGCAATATGTACCCAATCTTTTCAACATATTTTCACAGAACTTAGCTCTTTATGTACCGTAATTCCCAGAAGAGGTTACCATTTAATCTAATATTTCCCAAACCTGCAAAAATTACATAATTGGATAAAAGTGATTTTTCAAACCTGTTACCAAATGACAACAGGGACACTTAAAAATAAGGACTTTCTAACAAATGGTAAAAATGACTCTGAGAACCGTTTGTGGGAGGAGTGAAAAAAAATCTCTGTGGAACACTGGCTTAACCAAGTAACTAGATAGAACAATTATTTTGCATGGAAATTACATTGTGTGGCTTTTTTTGCACACACCATTCCTTCTCCAAATATCATGCCCATTCTTGCAAGAACATCAGAAGGCTTGGAGAACAGTGCAAGCGGCCTCAGAAAGAATAGTTGGCACAGCCATTTATGGTTGATGCATAGCTACTTGCAAACAGTAGGATCAGGCTGAGTGCATCCTGTCAGCAGTGGAAGAAAAATGGGAAAGCCAACTGGGCTTTTCCTTGTCATTTTATAGCATAGCTTTTAGCACACAATGTAAGCCTCAGAATCTGGTGCTGGAAGAAAAATAGGGAAAGCCACATGGCATTGTTACAGAATAGCTTTTAGCACACAATATAAGCCTCAGAATCTGGTACTCTACAAAAATTATAACAAACCTCATAATTCCTAGATAATATTGGGAACATAAAATCTTTGAGATTATATCCAGAGCAGAGTTCCCCCACCTTTCATGGTTGGTGGCCTGGAGCGGGGGAAGGAGGGAAAAGAAGGATTTTGTGTGTGGGAGGCTTGCAAATGCATGTGCACAAGCACAAAAATGTGGGTAGGGCCGTGAGCGCTTGCATATGGTGCTGTGAGTGCCCACGACACTCATGACATGAGTGGGGCTGCAAACAGTGGCGATGCTCATGCGAGTGGGGCCACAAATGTCTGCAATGCTTGTGGCAATGCTTGTGTGAGGGAGGCTGTGCATGCGCATACGCACACACCAGCCAGCCCAGTGGCCAATAGGCCATGTCCCGGCAGTTGGCCGCAGACCACAAGTTGGGGACCTCTGATCCAGACGGCACTGAGTTTGCAATCATACAGAAATCTTGTCATGAAAGGAAGAATTTTCTGAAATTACCAATTTGTTTAGACTGATATGATGCTAAATACCACAGATAGAGGAAACGATCTTACATGGGATATGTATTCTAATAACTAGAATACTTTCTAGTATATACACCTATGCAACTTTTAAATATTTTTATGAGATGCAATAATGACAGCTACAGTGTATAAAAATTATTATAATGTACATTTAGATTGAGAATAAAAGTAAGTGAGAAAAAGATTGTAACAATCTTCTAATGAAGCCATAAAAAGTTGAAGTGAAAAACTTAATGGAATAGATTACACGTACAAGATTCCTTTCAATATATCACAATGTAATGAGGATGAAATGAGGAAGGAAAATGATTGGATTGAAAAGGAGACAGGATGTGAACAAGACAATGAGAAGCAATGTATATTTCATAAATAAAATATGTACTGTTCATAAATAAAATATGGCACACTTATTCGTTTAAAAGAAACACTCAAACCAAAGGAGAAAAAGCCACTGGAAGTACTCTTCCAGAGTTTGTAAGATACAATAATCAGGCACAGAATAATTTTAAGCAACAAGAATTTCAATTGTTTTGATTCGGTTTTGTTGCTTAAAACAAGATTTCAAAGTTAAATCAGAATAAAGGAGGGATTGTATTTCTAAGTCAACTAAATCACACTCTTGGCCAATAACTATCCTAACAAAGATATTATTATGGAAAAGGTTTCAAAATGATAGCGACAATGCTATGATTTTAAGAACTAAAAATCCAGTTGGAAAATTTCACCAAAATGTTTGGTGATTATTAACCAAGAAATTGTTTGCAGAACTGTAGGTTCTTTAACTTTGTTGCCATGGAAGCTGCTTCTGAAATTTATCCAAAGTGCTAGAAGCAACTCTGTGGCATGTAGAGATGCTATTTTTTATTTTTTAAAAAATGAAAATATGAACTTCATAGGATTAACTCATGCTACAATTTAAATTCAGCCATATTTACAGATTCTAGACATTAAATTTTACATACCCAAACATATTTTTTTAAATTGTGCAATTGTTCATAATTTAAGAATAGCAACTATCTTTATAAACTATGTTCTGTTATAGTGTTCTGTTATGTCTATTTGTCAATATCAAGTCTGCTACGTTTAGTAAATAAGTTTTAGATATATGCTAAATTTCATTTAAAACTTAGTCATATTCAGCAGAATGTTTTAAAAAAAACCAACAAGAATATTTATGGATGGTTATATTAATTAATAAAATGTTCTATGCTGAACTTTCCTTCAGCTAGGGACCTTATACTTGGGTTGGACATTAGCTCACAAGTCCCAATACAAACGGATAAACAGAGGAAGAAACGGTAGAGTGGCTCTGCAAAAAGTGAGCAAATAATGAAGAGACGGTGAGTAGACCAAAAGAGTGACCTGGGTCATTGTTTAGTATTGGATTTACAAAATAGGTTTCTTAAATCTTATGAGAAGGGTTAAAAAAGAAATGAAAAGAAATCAAGATCTATGACATTATTTGAATGGACTATAGATGAAGATTGTTAGAAGTAAAAGTAAAGAATATAAAGTTGGTTTATTTGATCAAAATTAAAATATATTGTTATTTCTGGCAACCCTTAATTGATTTTGCTGATACCAGGATTGAAATGATGATGCTTTATAGATTTGTTTGTAGATCAGATATGGAATATGGAATGATCATTGGTTGTAAATTAAGACGCGGTGAAAAGTTACTAATTTTTTTTATACTTGTCTTAAGTTTAGATGCAAATTGAAAAAATGCTCACTTCCATGTGCAAGTATAGCCTGGATGACGGTAGCAATAATAAACAAAAATGTAGGCATTGCTAACATATTACAGTACCAACTACTAAAATATAGTAAATGTCATTTGCCTTCTGGGATAGATATTCTTTAGTCCATGAAGCTTACCTTGCCCTTAAAAACAGAACATGGCCATATTGTTAACAATTCTACATGGAGAGGGAAATATTAAATTGAAAATATACAAACAAGACAGTTCAATTAAAGCAGATACTTATTTCTTTTTAATAAATTAAACATACAAATTATGTAAGACTAGACTAGACAGCATTATGAACTTTATTGGTTTGTTTATTGATTTGTTTATTCACAATAACCTTTATCACACACTATAGAGACTCCAGGCACAAACAAGGATTAAAACCAAAATTAAAACATTATATAAATAACATGCAATACCAGCAAAATAAATATGTGGGCAAACTCTAAAAACATTTCAGTTCGAGTTATAGGATGAGAATGAAAGGTCACTTCTCAGACCAAAAGCTTAGTTATCAGGTCAACTTTTTTCTATTGTTTTGTATCAGACAGGTAACCTTTAACCACCCAGAGTCTCTCAACAGTAAGATAGACAGCATATAAAATTAATAAATAAATAAAAATAAAACTTATAAAAATTAGTTTGGAAACAATTAGTTTGGCTTCAGTACAGCAGCATGCCTAGAACAAAACAAGAGCTGCTAATCAGACCAAAGACCTAACCAGTCATCTTCCAAATTGGCCAACCTGATTCTAGCACAAGGGTCTCTTCCCACTCTTTATTTTGCAACAAAATAATACTAATTTATAATACTAATATAGCCATCATGCTGAACAGTTATTGAAAGCTTAATTCTCAATTTGTTTCCTTCAAGTTTATAGCATTCATGTTCACAGACATCATTATTTCTTGTAGAAGTGAATTCTATAACTTTAACTGTGGAATCCTCGAAGCTCTCTTGTCTGCCAGTTTGGTGGAGGCACGGTTTTCCCTTGGTGATTCCTACATTAGTGTTTTCTGCTTGATTATCTGCCTGATGTTAATCTATGCTTATTTGAGCATTGGCTGTTGGAGAGGATGTATGTTCTGGGGTTTTTTTTTTTTGTTTTGTTTCCTTAACTTTTTTATTGTCTATTGTCTTTGAGGGTGATAGGCAATTTAAAAATGTGATAAATAAATAAAGTTACTATATATAATAGCAATAACACTTAGACATATACCACTTCACTCTCTAAATGGCTTACAAACGGAGTCAGCATATTGCCCCTGACAATCTGGGTCCTCATTTTACCGACCTTGGAAGGATGGAAGGCTGAATCAACCTTGAGCCAGACAGGATCAAACTCCTGGCACTGAGCAGTGTTAGCCAACAATAAGTGCATTCTAATCACTGTGCCATCATGTCTCAAGATATAAACAAGGAACTAAGGGTTAAGTATGATAATAATTGTTGTATAAATTGTTAAACTTGTTTAGCTTATGATTAATATATTTGTTAACTTAATTAGATTATGTTTAATATGTTTGATATACCCTGTATTTGGTTCTGGGAAGTGGGGGGGTGGGGGGTAGGGGGGGTTATTGGGTTTATTATGTAATTATTAATAAAACTTTTTAATAAATAAAAAAAGATATAAACAAGGAGCAAGCCCCATAGTTGAGTAATGAAACATCTGCAAACAAATAATCATGTTCAGAGGGTGTCAAGGATTTTACTCAGTTTAAAAAAATTAAAGTACCTTTGACAAATCTCGGAAATTACTTGGAAGTGTAAGGTCCAACTCTTCTGATTCATAGTTAGTGATCACCCAAGGAAATACTGGATACTGGTTTAAATCATTGTATGTACGCCCTGGTGAGAAAGAGCAATGATGCTTTTTTTTTTTTTTGAAGACACAAAGTTAAAGAAAGCTTTACTAAACCTTATTGGAATAAATCCAACTTTAAGAAATAAAATGTAGACACTTTCCATCTCTCTTTAAAAAATTCCATATTTTCAAGACTGAAATAATGAATTCTTATGAAAGACAATTTAAACTAAGGAATTAATATGAAGCGACAAGGTTGTACTGCAGAAGCCGTGTGGTGAATGTAACCTTTTCTATGTTGCTTAGTAAATTGACCAATGATACAGGAAGTCATCTTATTAAAAATATTGTTAACTAATGAAAAATTGCAAATTAAATGAATATAATACTGAAAATAATATTGAATTAATAATAATCAGTGTAGACTTCTTGGTATATCAAGAAATAAATATGGCATGCACTATAACTAAAAATAAAGACACAGGGTATCCCTGCATCACCTACTGATATTTTCACCTGGTAAGAACAATATTATTTAATCGGGAATATGCCAGATGTTTTTAAAGCTTTTTCATCAACTTATATATTGATGGGCTGCCATGTTATCATTTATATTTAACACTGAGTTTGGATTCAACTGATTGATTTCTGTATTTTTATATTATTGCAAACCACCTGGAGTTTTATGAGCTGGGAGGCAGATAAATGTTGAAAAATAAATGATTAAATAATGTACAGGGATTCTTTATAAATGTTAAGAACTACCAGTAACAAGCAAGAGCAAGAGCATTTATTTAAAAAGAGAGAGACTGAAATTCTTTTAATTAATTTTCAGAAAATACTATGCCAAATTTGTTCAAATTGTCTTTAAGGGATTTCCATTATTACCTGCAATGGTATTAAGAAACATAAGATATTCAAAGTTTGAAATCTCTCTATGTTGCCATCGCTGAGTCATATTTGAAGCTTTAAAGATTTGACGTGGAGTGGCCATAGAAATACGTCTGAAATATAAAAGTTTTATGACATGTCAGCTTAAGTCCCTAAGCAATCTGAAACAAAAATATACCACTGAGTTAATTGGGAGAGTTGTGTTGCGCACACTTAGAATGAAAGAATATCAACTTGCAGTCACTTGTAACAGGCCTTCTCTAGATTTGTGCCTCTACTCCAAAAGTCTCTGAGGAGAAGGTTCATAAAGCTTTTACTATCTCAGCTTCTGAGAAGCCAACAAATCTTTGTTTACTCAGGTCCTTTCCTTATGAGCCTTGGATAATAATATGTTTTTCTCTTTCATTTTCCTGTCACCTTTTTATTATATATCACATTTATATTGTTTTTATTCATTCGTCTATATTGCATATTTTACAAATAAATTGTTTTGAGGTGCTTTAATATAGCAATTAGTCCAAAATATATTTAACTATCATCATAATATAATATCTATTTATGATACTTATCATACATTTAAAGTGCTTAACTACTGCTCTTCAGTAAGAGTTCCAATAATAATTAAATGGATGTTAACACTCAACTCTTGGAATCCTAAGATTTCACTGCCAGATTAACTATTTCTATAGGATTTTCTGTCTTATACAAAGCTATCTTCAGAATAAACATAGCATAAACACAGAACTCAGAAAACATGTTTGCTAGAAGATTATATGCATGCATAGTCTGGTTTACATTAATATTTCTTCACTAATGTCACCTAATAGTCTGTTTATATGAACAAAGCGTTCACTGTAATGATTAAATGATTCCAAAATACTGTGTTCAACTAATTTGCCATTTTATATTAAGAAATGATAGAATTTTAAAAGTGGAAGAGAATATTTGTGAGTATAATACCCTGCCCTGTGCAAGAATCCAATTTGAAGCATAATAAAAGTGTAAATGCCTGGTCCTCTGCTTCTTCTCCTATCAATCCAGAGAGAACACATGCATGTATTATGTTGAAATAATATGTATATTTTGGGGGTTTGCTTTCTTCTGGTGATCAGATATACATTAATTGTATTATAGATTCTTTATTTTAATATTATTATTCATTCTGTTAATTATGTACATCATTATAACTTGTATTAGCAAACACCAATTATCATTTCTTTTTCTAGAATCTAGTAGACTTCAAGATTGGTCACAGATTACATAAAACTATTATTTGTTTAACCGGTTTACTGAATAAACAATAGCTAACTGGATTCACACCAAGAAGTCAAAAACAAATAAAATACATCATGGCTTAGTATGCCGAAGTATAAGGCACAGTCTGCTGTTACCAAATAAAATAAATTTAAAAAGAGACTGCTTTCTTTTCCTAGATTTTGAACCTTTTTTCCTGACTTTGGCTATTTGCTTTCTTCATTTCAACTCTATATTGCAATATTGTCAGCTGAAATTGTTCTCAAGAGTTAGTGTTAATATACCTGGTTTGAGGCAAACCGAAACTAGTTCCAATTCCAACACGAGGTAAACAATTGATTACTTTTTTTACAGTTGCAGGATCCGGAAAGTTGAACATGACAGCAACTATGTACAAGACACATTTAGATATTATTCATTGTTATTTACACAATGGTTCTTGGAATAATAAATCATATAATACAATAGTGAAAATGCAATGCATATTTTTAAGACATTATCCCAACACAGTGTTACAATGTTAACAACATAGTGCTCACTTTCCATAAAATGAATTGTCTTGTTATCATTTGGACAAAAGAATTTATCAAGCACTGTTAGCTTTATCATTAAGTTATGAAAGCTGGCATATAAAAAAATTATTAAAGAACCCAGGTTTTGTAAACTAAGTTCCAAATTAAATTTGTTGATTTTTCTGAAGTACTTATAACTGAATATACAACATAAAATAACAAAACCATTTTGGAGGTAAATAACAAAAAATCTTATTTAATATGCCTTTATAAGAAGCACTTGAAGTCAACAGCTAAAATGAAAAAGGTTCCAAGAGGCATACAAGCAATTTAAATCTGAGACAGGACAAGTTACCAAAATGGGCAATCACTAATGTCCACTTTTTAATTTCTTTTGATACTGTTGATGTTCTAGAACATGCTACATTTCTATATTTCAGATGCATTTTCTGTGGAGAGATTGCTTTTTCTCCTTCCCATATCTTTAGTCTCATAATGCATTTATGTTGTCCATCACTTTGTCATTTATTACTTTGAACTTTCTCAGATTATAATGCAAAAAGCCTTGCTATTCTTACTATATTGTGCTGAAGGTTGTAGTAGTAACAACTGTTCCCTGTGACTATGCCTTAACTGAGAATTTCCACAAACCAACGATGTCTGAGAATTTTGATTGTTGGACCTGTATGATAAATGAATTAGTGCTCCTTCCTATCTTAGCATTGTTGGCATTCATTGGTGGGAAACATCTTGTACATTAATATTTCCATATGTAGATTATCATTAAAGTTCAGGACCCAGCCAGGCCCTTCTTGATCTTTCAGGGACTTTTAGTATCATTAAACAAGGTAGCCTTCTGGACAACTTTGGGGGCGAGAAATAAGAGAAGTATTGTGGTGGTTCTCTCCCTTTCTCCAGGTCCAGTTCTTGATAGGAGGGAAAAAATCTAATCCTTTACTTTGAGAGATCCCTCATGTCTTTACACTGTCTCTGCTTCTGTTTAACATCTACGTAAGCTTGCTGGATAAGGTCATTCATTAACACAATGTTAAATATCATAGGTATCCTGATAATACATCCCTACCCCTGCCCGAGCTAGATGCTATGGGTGTCAGGGCTCCTGGATCTGGAGATTTTCTGTTTTGTTTTTTTTATTTCTGGATGGGCTTGCATTCTTTTTGTGTGTGAAAGTCATAGAAATTTCAACATTTCTGACTGGTATTTATTAGGAAATTGTAATCTTACATGGTAAGGGAGTGAATACATACTTCAAACTCGTAAAAGATCTCATTTCCAGAATTACCTCTGTTAGCCATAAAGATTTCCAATGCTGTATTCTGCAATAGATAGCGTCGAGAAAATACTGATCGAATCTCTGAAAACAGCCATTTCCCATGCAGTCCATCCGTATATGCAAGTATCTGATAAAAAACAAATATAAGATATATTTTTAAAATAAGCAATTGCTTCATTAATTTATGAAAAGGTGTACAGTAAATACATACCCTGCCTGTTATCTTTAGTTATTTTATACTCAAAATTAAGAGGAGAAGCATGATCAATTCAAATGAATCAGTACCACTACTCAAGGATGTGGAACAGTTTCTTTCTTTGCAATAATTTTATTAAAATTTACAGTTTAAAAGATACAAAATTAATACAAACTAAGAAAAATATAAAAAGTGCAGAGCAAAAACCCCCGATAACCAATATAATAAATAAAAAGATAAAATATAATTTATCCTTTCATCAAGCATGAACAAACAATTTTAATAACTTATCACCTTCTCTGATATTACAATAAAGGATTTCTTCTTCATATATCATCTTCTTTCCATATCTCTACTCTTATTTATAAATTAATTCTTAAAGTTTGATCCTACAGTCCTAATCAGCAAACGTCCATAAAAAGTTATTACTAACATCATACAGTATATATTTTAACCTTGAACAAATAAGCCAACTGGTTTCAGATAAACCAAACTTCACAAGTACTAATACAAAGATTTTTTTAAACTTTTCATCTTCTTTGATATTACAACAAAGGATATCTTCTTCCCATATCTCTTATCTCTAAAAAATTCTGAAAATCTCATCATTCAGTCCTAATCAGCAAAAGTCATGAAGAGTTACCAGAAACAACATATATATTTTAACTAAATAAACCATATTCCTTTCCTTTGTGTTTAATGATCTTGATCTTTAATTCCTTTAAATAGTATCCCAGAACTTTCTCTCCTTCAAAACAGAACAGTGATTTGGATAACTTTCTTATTTTGAACTTACAAAAGAGATGTATTAATCTGTTTTTTAAGTCTAAAAGAAAAAAGTTATCCAAATGACTGTTCTGGTTTGTTATTTGTATACTTCTTTTAATTAATTAAGACATCAGCCAGAATTAAAAATTATAATTAAAAGAGAAGAGATCCTCTAATAATCTTTTCCCTATCATTTTTGTAAGCTTTACTTTTTAAATCCACATTCAAATCAATCTTAGTATTAATCTTATCCAGTAAAAACTGTTCCTCTTTTACGACCACTCTTAAATGCAGTTTTATGATTGGACAGTTTTAAAAGTAGTTTTTAAATGGAGATTTCCTTGAATTCTTCCAAAGTTACAGTATCTTGCTCCGTTCTCTATTAATGGGTCTCTTCTCTTTTAGTTATAATCTTTAGTTCTTTTCTATTCCCTTTAGTGTCTAACTTTCAAAGTCCCATCTTATGTTTTTTTCCCAATAAACAGTTTGTCTAGTGGTTAAGGCACCAGGCTAGAAAGTGGGAGACTGTGAGTTCTAATCTCATTTTAGGCATGAAAGCTGCCTGGCCAACTTTGGCCAGTCACTATCTCTCAACCCAACTCATCTCACAGGGTTGGTGTTCTGGAGAAAATAAGAGAGAAGATTATTAGTTATGTTCACCACTTTCAGTTTGTTCTGGATTGTTGTACCCTGACTAGAGCATGTAGAGTTGTATGTTAGAATGTTTGGCATTTATTGAATTAAGTGCTGTCTTCTTAAGAGGTGGCTTATGGGTAATGTAGTTTAGCTAGTCAGCTATCCCATGTTAATAGGGGGAAAGGAGGAGCCATTAAAGTTCATGACAGGATATCCTGGCCATGTGCCAGTTTGGAATGCCTTTGTCTTTGTGCAAACCAACCATGCAGTACGCTTGGATATTGAATGTAATCAGGCACAAGTGAATATGGAGAAGCTATTGATTTTACCGACTTAATGGACAGATATTCACTAACTAGACGCATCTTCAGGAATGTAAGTTTCTGTTAAGGATTCCCTGATTAAATATTTGTTTAAATCCATTTTGTTGCATTATCTGTCTGGATCTGGATTGGAAGGCAACTCAGTTCAGGATCCGGAATACAGTTGTTTATAAAAATAATAAAGACAGGATAAAAAATAAAATTTTCCTAAGGGAAGATTTCTTATACTTAATTTCAAATCTTATTTCATCCATCCCCTTAGTCTGTTTATAGCTTTCTAAAACCAATGTTCTAATCACTCTTTTTCTATTTATTCCTAAATTTAAAAAAATTGTAAGTTCTTAAATTTGCATAAAAATTCTTTCACCAAGCATTGCAGGAGAGTTACCTAGTGTAATGAAACTTTCCATTCTGAAGATTTCTAATATCCAAAAAGCTGTTAATAAGCTATTTACAGAAGTGATTAAGAGAGGAAGTATATGAACCAAGTGTCTTTTTGAAAATGTGGTTTGAGCAAAGTTGGAAATCCTTCAGCTCCCAAAGTTCTTATGGTCTTCTTGCACGAAGCTATTGTCCCTTCCTTTTCCAGAGAGAAATTCCAAAAAGGTCTATTCATCAGCTCCTCATTCTACATGGTTGGTTCCACTGTCTATGGAACAGACTTCAGTCTACATTGTTACTTTGGTAGTCTAGCGAGGGAAGGTTTCTTTTCATCAACCATAAAGTTTCACAATGATAAAATCTTAAACCACTCAGTTTAATAACCAAACAAAACTGAAAATCATTTATATATAATTAATTTATGTTCACATAAAAAATTAGGTAATGCTAGGATGAGGAAGCATGATCTAAATAGCAAAACAAAGGCAGACACCATTACTGTTCTGTAAATACTATTATTGCTAACAACTATTATACTATTTCAATCTGGAACTCAAGGTGACACATACAGATTATTTTAATAGTGTACCTCTAAGGTTACTTAGGATGAGATAAGGATAAGAATAATCCTGTAAATATAAACAAAGCTGGGATTCTCTGGACCTAGCTCAATACTCTAACCTGCATCCCATCTGGGTTTTGATTTACTTTTTTCCATTACATACTCCTAGAAAAAAAATACTTCAACCTGCTGAATCTTACCAGGAGAAAATTTGTCCCACCTATCCCTCTATCCAGAGTTTCTTTCTTTCTGGAAAATACTTTCTCTTCCATATATTTTATTGCAATTTGTTTTTCAAAAGTTGCCTTACTTGTAGTTTTCAGTACAAAAGTAAACATTATGGAAGATAAATAGCTTCTCCTATTCTTCCATAGTTACCTCTAAAAATATAAAACAATTACATTAACCCTACTTTACTCTAAAGTTCCACAATGCAGTATACTGTCACCAACTGACTAGAATAAAGGTATTCTAATATATTGTATCATTAAACATTACAAGGCAAAAGGAAATATTTGACATCTATCATTCTGTATCCAGGACTAAGCTCTGCAATCCAAGTCTGTACAAATATAACTTTCATTCCTTTAGTTAATATCCTGGATTATTCAATTAGTAGCTAATCATAAAAATGTAACAACAGTTCTTACCTAATATTAAACGATAAATCATGGTTATAATTACAATTTTTCTTTTTAATGAATCTTAAATATAACTTCAGATAGCCAAAAAAGCTTCTCTAAGCAATTTCTGAAGCATTAACTAGAAAAAGTTAGGAGTCTGGTGGCAGCTAAAACAGGCCTTCATTCCTTGCTGGAATGGTATCTGCGTTGTCTGTAGATTCACTTCAAAGTCTCTGGAGTTCAATTAAAACTGGATTAAGTGAAGCAGACCTTCTTTGGGACTTTCTTCCTTGGAAACTCCACACATACTGACAGCACCCTAGACAGAGGTCTAGCCCTCCAGTGAACCAGTTGCCATGGAAACTACATCATTACCACCCCTATTGTGTTATCACACTAGGCATATTAGTTTCTAAGATATACACACATACTCCCTTTCAGGTAATCTTTTATCTTGGAGTATGTCTTGGAAAATTATATCTCCTTTCTTATTTAAATTGTATTTTTCTAATCTGAAATCTTATTTTTAGCATATTGTACCAAATTCAGGAACTCTGCATATTCCATTCATATGGAACCCTTTATTAAATGTTGTGTTGTGTATTATTTTATGTTTAATTCCCACTAGTCATTGAAAAGGAGTAATGTTTTTTCTTATGTACCTGACAGATATATCAATGTTTGAGCAGCACAACCTCACTTCTAGCTATAGCTATCAACTTCTGGGAAGGAATTAATAACTAATGCAAGATTTTAACAGATGAAGCTTTTCAAATGAAAAGTTCCAGAAAATATATTAAGTTAGTGCTAATATAAAGGTATGTGATTTTAACTGAAAAATATATTACCCGGTTTTTTATATTATAAAAATACATGGACAGTAGTATATAAAAGTTTGTGAATCTTTTAAATATTTCTGCATAAACTGTGGTATTTTTTACTATACATAACAAAAGTATGTTAATCACGGCTTTTGGTAACTGGGGTCCTCCCATTGGGCAAGAATATCCGCAACTAAAAATTTCCAATAATTGCTCATCAATCCTGCACATTGGCTTGGAGGAATTTTAGCCCATTCTCCCTTACAGAACAGCTTCAGTTCAAATACATTTATGAATTGCCCACTTCAGGTCCTTCCATGACACTTCTATAAGATTAAGGGCAAGGCTTAACTGGGCCATTCCAAAACAACAGCTTTCTTCTGTTCTAACCATTGTTTAGTCATATGACTTGTGTGTTTTGAATTGTTTGTGTGTTTTGGGTTGATTTCTATGTTTTGGGTTGACATGTGCATATTGAATAATTTCCTCAAATAAATGAACAAGTATAACATTTTTGACTTGTTTAATTGGGTTTTCTTTATCTAGTTTTAGGAATTGGATGGAGAATAAATCAAATTTTAGGTAACATCAGACAGCATGTGACATACTAGAGCAGAGGTCCCCAACCTTTTGGGCACTATGGACCAGTTCCATGGAGAGAGGTTTTTCCGCGGACCGGAGGCAGCGTGGTTTTGTATGCTGCCTGCATTCTGTGGATGGGGCTTTGCTTGTTTGTGTGGACCAGCTGCTGGCATTTTGTGGCCTGGTACTGGTCCATGGACTGGGATTGGGGACCCTTGCACTAGAGAACCTATGA